AGACAGAAACAGTCTTTAGAAGGTGGATAACAAACTTTTCTGAACTAAAGGAACATATTCTAACTCAATGCAAACAAACCAAAAACCTTGAAAAAAGGTTAGACGAAATGCTAACTAGAATAACTGGCTTAGAGAACACAAACGACTTGATGTAGTTGAAAAACATAGCATGAGAACGATGTGAAGAAAATACAAGTTTTAATAGCTGAATCGATCAAGCAGAAGAAGGGATGTCAGAGATTGAAGATCAACTCAATGAAATAAAAAGAGAAGGCAAGACAAGAGAAAAAGGAGTGAAAAGAAATGAACAAAGCCTCCAAGATAGATGGGATTATGTGAAAAGACCTAATCTACGCTTGATCGGTGTACTTGACTATGATGGGGAGAATGAATCCAAGCTGGAAAACATGCTCCAGGATATTATTCAGGAAAACTTCCCAAGCCTAGCAAGGCAGCCCAACACTCAAATTCAAGAAATAGAACTCCACAAAGATATTCCTCAAGAAGAGAAACCCCAGGGCATGTAATTGTCAGATTCACCAGGGTTGAAATGAAGGAAAAAATGCTAAGGGCAGCCAGAGAGGATGGTTAGGTCACCCACAGAGGTGAGCCAATCAGAAGCACAGCAGATCTCTTGGCAGAAACCCTACAAGCCACAAGAGAGTGAGGGCCCATATTCAATATCCTTAAAGAAAAGAACTTTCAACCCAGAATCTCATATCCAGCCAAACTAAGCTTCATAAGTGAAGGAGAAATAAAATTCTTTATGGACAAGCAATTACTGAGAGATTTCATCACCACCAGACCTGCCCTACAAGAACTCCTGAAAGAAACACTAAACACGGAAAGGAACAAGTACCAGTCACTGCAAAAGCAAACCAGTTGGCAAAGACCAAAAACACAATGAAGAAAATGAGTCAACTAACAGGCAAGAAAACCATACAGTAACAAAATGGCAGCATCAAATTCAAACATAACAATATTAACGTTGAATGTAAATGGCCTGAACACCCCAATCAAAAGACACAGATTGGTCAACTGGATAAAAAGTCAAGACCCATCGGTGTGCTGTGTTTAGGAAACCCATTTCACATACAAAGACACAGATAGACTCAAAATAAAGGGATGGAAGAAGATTTACCAAGCAAATGGAGAGAAAAAACGGGTTGCAATCCTAATCTCTGATAAAATGGACTTCAAACCAACAAAAATCAAAAGAGACAAAGAAGGACACTATATAATGGTAAAAGGATCAATCCAACAAGAAGAACTCACTATCCTAAATATATACGTACCCAACCCAGGAGCACCCAGATACATAAAGCAAGTTCTTAATGACCTAAAATGAGATTTAGACTCCCACACAATAATAGTGGGAGACTTCAACATTCCACTGTCAATATTAGACAGATCAATAAGACAGAAAATTAACAAGGACATTCAGGACTTGAATGCAGAGCTGAACCAAGCAGACCTAATAGACGTATACAGAACACTCCACTCCAGATCCACAGAATACACATTTTTTTCAGCACCACATTGCACTTACTCTAAAATTGACCATATCGTTGGATGCAAACCACTCCTCAGCAAATGCAAAAGAACAGAAATCATAACAGTCTATCAGACCACAGAGCAATCAGACTGGAACTCAGGATTAAGAAACACACTCAAACCCACACAACCACTTGGAAACTGAACAACTTGCTTCTGAGTGTCAACTGGATAAACAATGAAATGAAGGCAAAAATAAAGATGTTCTTTAAAACCAATCAGAATGAAGATAAACTTACCAGAATCTCTGGGGCACCTTTAAAGCAGTGGGGAGAGGGAAATTTATAGCAATAAATTCCCACATGAGAAACAAGGAATGATCTAATATTGACACCCTATCATCAAAATTGAAAGAGCTAGAGAAGGAAGATCAAAAAAAACCAAAAGCTAGCAAAAGACAAGACATAATTAAGATCAGAGAAGAACTGAAGGAGATAGAGACACAAAAAACCCTTCAAAAAATCAATAAATCCAGGAGCTGGTTTTGAAAAGATCAACAAAATAGACCACTAGCCAGACTAATAAAAAGAAAAGAGAGAAGAAACAAATAGATGCAATAAAAAAAGATAAAGGGCACGTCACCACTGATCCCACAGAAATACAAACTACCATCAGAGATTACTACAAACAGCTGTGTGCACATAAACCAGTAAACCAGGAAGAAATGGATAAATTCCTGGACACTCGTACTCTACCAAGACTAAACTAGGAGGAAGTTGAAACCCTGAATAGACCAAGGACTCAAGAGGCAGCAATTGATAGCCTACCAACCAAAAAAGTCCAAGTCCAGACGGGTTCACAGCCAAATTCTACCAGTCGTACAAAGAGGAACTGGTTCAATTCTTTCTGAAACTATACCAAACAATACAAAAAGAGGGAATCCTCCCTAACTCATTTTATGAGATAAACATCATCCTGATACCAAAACCAGGCAGAGACTCAACTAAAAAAGAAAACTTCAGGCCAACATCCATGATGAACGTCGACACAAAAATCTTCAATGAAATACTGGCAAACCAATTGCAACAGCACATCAAAAAGCTTATCCATCACGATCAAGTAGGCTTTATCCCAGGGGTGCAAGGCTGGTTCAACATGTGCAAACCCATAAACGTAATCCATCACATAAGTGGAAACAAAGACAAAAACCACATGATTTTCTCAATAGGTGCAGAGAAGGCCTTCGACAAAATTCAACAGCCCTTCATGCTAAAAATTCTCAGTAAACTAGGTATCAACGGAATGTATCATAAAAAGCCATTTATGTCAAACCTACAGCCAATATCTTACGGAACAAGCAAAAGTGGGAAGAATTCCCTTTGAAATCAGGCACTAGACAAGGATGCCCTCTCTCACCACTCCTATTCAATATAGTATTGTAAGTTCTAGCAAGGGCAATCAGGCAAGAAAAAGAAATAAAGGGTGTTTAATTAGGAAAGGAGGACGTCAAACTGTCTCTGTTTGCAGATGACATGATTGTGTATCTAGAAGACCCCATTGTCTCAGCCCCAAATCTTCTCAAACTGATAAGCAACTTCAGCAAAGTCTCAGGATACAAAATCAATGTGCAAAAATCACAAGCATTTCTAGCAAATAACAGACAAACAGAGAGCCAAATCAAGAGCGAACTCCCATTCACAATTGCTACAAAGAGAATAAAATACCTAGGAATACAACTAACAAAGGATGTAAAGTACCTCTTCAAGGAGAACTACAAACCACTGCTCCAGGAAATAAGAGAGGACACAAACAGATGGAAGAACATTCCATGCTCATGGTTAGGAAGAATCAATATCGTGAAAATGGCCATACTGCCCAACATAATCTATAGATTCAACACTATCCCCATCAAGCTACCAATGACCTTCTTCACAGAACTGGAAAAAACCACTTTAAACTTCATATAGAGTCACAAGAGAGCCCGCATAGCCACAACAATCCTAAGCAAAAAGAACAAAGCTGGAGGCATCATGCTGCTAGACTTCAAATTGTACTACAAGGCTACAGTCATCAAAACAGCATGGTACTGGCACCAAAACAGAGACATAGACCAATGGAACAGAACAGAGGCCCCAGAAGCAACACCACACGTATACAACCATCTGATGTTTGCAGACGTGACAAAAACAAGCAGTGGGGAAAGGACCCCATGTTTAATAAATGGTGTTGGAAAAACTGGCTAGCAATGGGCAGAAAGCAGAAACTTGACCCCTACCTGTCATCTTAAACTAAAATTATCTCCAGATAGGTTAAAGATTTAAACATAAAACCTAACACCATAAAAATATAGGCAAAACCATCGAGGACATAGGCATAGGAAAGGACTTCAGGACTAAAACACCAAAAGCAATGGTGATAAAAGCTAAGATAGACAAATGGGATCTAATTAAAATTCAGAGCTTCTGTACAGCAAAACCATCATTAGAGCAAACCAGCAACCAACAGAATGGGAAAAATTTTGCAATCTACCCATCTGACAAAGGGCTAATATCCAGAATCGACAAAGAACTAAAACAAATATACAAGAAAAAAAACAACCCCATTCAAAAGTGGGCAAAGGGTAAGAACAGACACTTTTCAAAAGAAGACATCTATGAGGCCAACAAACACGAAAAAATGCTCATCATCACTGGTCATTAGAGAAATGCAAATCAAAACCACATTAATATGATACCATCTCATGCCAGTTAGAATGGTGATCATTAAAAAATTTGGAGACAGATACTGGAGAGGATGTGTAGAAATAGGAACGCTCTTACATAGTTGGTGGGGGTGTAAATTAGTTCAACCATTGTAGAAGACAGTGTGGTGATTTCTCAAGGATCTAGAAATAGAAATTCCATTTGACCCAGCAATCCCATTACTGGGTATATACACAAAGAACTATAAATTGTTCTGCTATAAAGGCGCATGCACACATATGTTCACTGCAGCCCCGTGAACAATAGCAAAGACCTGGAACCAACCCAAATGCCCATCAATGATAGATTAGACAAAGAAAATGTGATACATATACACCATGGAATACTATGCAGCCATAAAAAATGATGAGTTCATGTCCTTTGTAGGGGCTTGGATGAATCTAGAAGTCATTATTCTTAGCAAACTGATAGAAGAACAGAAAACCAAACACTGCATGTTCTCATTCACAGGTGGGTGTTGAACAGTGAGAACACGTGGACTCAGGGAGAGGAGCATCACACACTCGGGCCAGTTGGGGGTGGGTAGGGGAGAGACAGTGGGGAGTTGAGCAGGTGGGGAGGGAGGGAAGGGATAACATGGGAAGAAATGCCAGATATAGTATTCACCTAAAGTGAAACAAAATAAATAATTTAAAAATAAAAGATAACAAAACAAAACACAAACAAAAAACCAAAAAAAACAAACAAGGAAGATCTCAAATCAGTAACCTAATCTTTCACTTTAAGAATCTAGACAAAGGGCAGTACATTGAGCTCCATAGAGACAGCGCCGGGGCAAGTGAGAGCCAGACGGGCACTGGGCGACTCTGTGCCTCGCTAAGGAAAAATAACTAAACATGGGCAAAGGAGATCCTAAGAAGCTGAGAGGCAAAATGTCATCATGTGCATTTTTTGTGCAAACTTGTCGGGAGGAGCATAAGAAACAGCACCCAGATTCTTCAGTCAACTTCTCAGAGTTTTCTAAGAAGTGCTCAGAGAGGTGGAAGACCATGTCTGCTAAAGAGAAAGGAAAAGTTGAAGATATGGCAAAGGCGGATAAGGCCCGTTATGAGAGAGAAATGAAAACCTATATTCCTCCTAAAGGGGAGACAAAAAAGAAGTTCAAGGATCCCAATGCACCCAAGAGGCCTCCTTTGGCCTTTTTCCTCTTCTGCTCTGAGTATCGCCCAAAAATCAAAGGAGAATATCCTGGCCTGTCCATTGGTGATGTTGCGAAGAAACTGGGAGAGATGTGGAATAACACTGCTGCAGATGACAAGCAGCCTTATGAAAAGAAGGCTGCGAAGCTGAAGGAAAAATACGAAAAGGATATTGCTGCATATCGAGCTAAAGGAAAGCCTGATGCAGCCAAAAAGGGAGTTGTCAAGGCTGAAAAAAGCAAGAAAAAGAAGGAGGAGGAGGAAGATGAGGAAGATGAAGAGGACGAGGAGGAAGAGGAAGATGATGATGATGAATAAGTTGGTTCTAGCGCAGTTTTGTTTCTTGTCTATAAAGCATTTAACACCCCTGTACACAACTCACTCCTTTTAAAGAAAAAAATTGAAATGTAAGGCTGTGTAAGATTTGTTTTTAAACTGTACAGTGTCTTTTTTTGTATAGTTAACACACTACCGAATGTGTCTTTAGATAACCCTGTCCTGGTGGTATTTTCAATAGCCACTAACTTTGCCTGGTACAGTATGGGGGTTGTAAATTGGCATGGAAATTTAAAGCAGGTTCTTGTTGGTGCACAGCACAAATTAGTTATATATGGGGATGGTAGTTTTTTCATCTTCAGTTGTCTCTGATACAGCTTATACGAAATAATTGTTGTTCTGTTAACTGAATACCACTCTGTAATTGCAAAAAAAAAAAAAAAAATTGCAGCTGTTTTGTTGACATTCTGAATGCTTCTAAGTAAATACGATTTTTTAAATTAGTATTGTTGTCCTTTTCATAGGTCTGAAATTTTTCTTCTTGAGGGGAAGCTAGTCTTTTTCTTTTGCCCATTTTGAATCACATGAATTATTACAGTGTTTATCCTTTCATATAGTTAATTAATAAAAAGCTTTTGTCTACACACCCTGCATATCATAATGGGGGTAAAGAAGTTGAGATAGTTTTCATCCATAACTAAAAATCCAAAATCTTGATCAGTTAAGAAATTTCACATAGCCCATTTATATTTATAAACTAAAGAGTAATCGATCTACTCACAGCATGGGACTATTAGAATCAAACATTTTGAAAGTCTGTCCTTGAAGGACTAATAGAAAAGTATGTTCTAACCTTACATGAGGACTTTATTCTTTAAGTCCCATTACCATGTAATGGCTGTTAAATTTTGCAGTTCCCACATTAAAGAAGACCTGAGAATGTATCCCCAAAAGCGTGAGCTTAAAATACAAGACTGCCGTATTAAATTTTTTGTTGACATTAGTCTCAGTGAAGACTGAAAATGCTGGCTATACGTGTGTTTTCCCATTAAATATGGCCTGCTCAGGAAACGAGACTTTCCATTAAAAGTATTTTTAATTCATTGGGCCAGCTTTTAAAATGAAGATACCACATTCAGAATAGGGTATATTTTCTGTATTATGGTTTGCCCCTTTATAAATCCAAGTGGGAGGAAAGAAGACACTTAAAACTTTGCATCTCAGTATGAATTATTCAATTTATTTGGATGATTTTTCTTTAAAACCCAAACTCACTCATTAGTCATGTTTATCTGCTTATCAGTTTAGGGAACAATTTGGCAATTTTGTGGTTTTTGAGGTTATCGTTTATTCTTAAAGTGCCAGTATTTTAAAATAGCGTTCTTGTAATTTTACACGCTTTTGTGATGGAGTGCTGTTTTTTTATATAATTTTGACTTGGATTCTTTCCATTTGCATTTGTTTATGTAATTTCAGGAGGAATACTGAACATCTGAGTCCTGGATGATACTAATAAACTAATAATTGCAGAGGTTAAAAAAAAAAGAATCTAGACAAAGAAGAACAAATCAAACACAAGCAGAAGAAAGGAAGTAAGAATTAGAATGGAAGTAAAGGAACTAGAGGAGACTAAAACATAGAGGTAATCAACAAAGCTGAAAGTTTGCTTTTCAAAGAGATATACAAAACTCTCAAGTCTTTATATAGACCGACTGAGAAAGAAAGATGACACAAAGTAGTAGAATAAGGAATAAAAGTCTGGACATTTCTGCTAACCTTACAGAAAGATAAAGGATTGAAAGAGAATATTATGAAAAATTGTATGCCAATAAATTAGGTAACCTAGATGACATAGACAATTTTCTTTTTTTTCTTTATTTCTTTTGAAAAAAAAAAAAAAAGCAGGGGAGATACATGTGCAGAACATGCAGGTTTGTTACATATGTATACTGTGCCATGGTGGTTTGCTGCACCTATTGACCTGTCCTCTAACTTCTCTCCCCTCAACTTCACCCCGTAACAGGCCCTGGTGTGTGTTGTTCTCTTCTCTGCATCCAGTGTTCTCATTGTTCAACTTCCACTTATGAGTGAGAACATGCAGTGTTTGGTTTTTCTGTTCCTGTGTTAGTATTCTGAGAATGATGGCTTCCAGCTTCATCTATGTCACTGCAAAGAACATGATCTCATTCTTTTTTTTGGTGGCCGCATAGTATTTCATGGTGTATGTACCACATTTTTTTTTATCCAGTCTATCATTGATGGGCATTTGGGTTGGTTCCATGTGTTTGGTATTGTAGATGGTACTGCAGTAAACATAACATGCACATGTGTCTTTATAGTAGAATGATTTGCATTCCTTTGGGTATATGTCCAGTAATGGGATTGGTGGGTCAAATGGTATTTCTGTTTCCAGATCCTTAAGGAATCACCACACTGTCTTCTATAATGATTGAACTAATTTACATCCCCCCTACCCACCACAGTATAAAAGTGTTCCTATTTCTCCACAACCTCATCTATTTCTCCACAGCATCTATTGTTTCCTGAGTTTTTAATAATCACCATTCTGATTGGCACACGATAGTATTCCATTGTGGTTTTGATCTGCATTTTTCTGATGATCAGTGATGTTGAACTATTTTCATGTTTGGTGGCTGCGTAAATGTTTTCTTTTGAGAAGTGACTGTTCAAATCCTTTGCCCACTTGTGTTGGGGTTGTTTATTTTTCTTGTAAATATGTTTAAGTTCCTTGTAAATTCTGGGTATTAGACCTTTGTCAGATAGGTAGATTGCAAAAATTGTCTCCCATGCTGTAGGTTGCCTGTTCACGCTGATGATAGTTTCTTTTGCTGTGCAGAAACTCTTTAGTTTAATTAGATCACATTTATGAGTTTTGGCTTTTGTTGTGATTGCTTTCGGCATTTTCATCGTGAAGTCTTTGCCCATGCCTATGTCCTGAATGGTGTTGCCTAGATTTTCTTCCAGGGCTTTTACGGTTTTGGGTTTTACATTTAAGTCTTTAATCTTGAATTAATTGACTTTAATCTTGAGTTAATTTTTGTATAAGGAAGAAGTCTAGCTTCAGTTTTCTGCATATGGTTAGACAGTTTTCCCAGCAGCATTTGCTGAACAGGAGATCCTTTCCCCATTGCTTGTATTTGTTAGGTTTGTCGAAGATCAGGTGGTCTCTGTTCTGCTCCATTGGTCTATATGAAATAGACAAATTTCTAGAAACACAGAAACTACCAAAACTGATTTAAGAACAAATAGAAAATCTAGATAGACTTTTAACAAATAAAAAGATTTTGATAATTTTAAGACTTTTAATAAAGAAAAATTCAGGGCCAGATGGTTTCACGGGTAAATTCTACAAACATTTAAAGGAAAATTAACACCAATTATTCTCAAATTATTTGAAAAATGTAAAATGAGAAAAAACTTTCTAACTTACTCTATAATCCCATTACTAAGTATCCTGATACCATTGCCAGATTTTGCATTGGGCAAATGCTTCTTACAGCTGACTCCAAAAACACAGTAACCAAAAATAAAAATAAAAAATATAAATTAGATTTCATCAAAATTAAACACTTTTATACATCAAAGGACACTATCAAGAAAGTATAAAGAATGGGAGAAGCTATGTAAAAATTATATATTTGATAAGGGCCTAATAAACAGAATATATAAAGAACACTTAAAATTCAACAGTAAAAAGACAACCCAATTTTAAAATGGAAAATGGATTTGAATAAGCATTTCTCAAAAGAATATATACAAATGGTCAAACAACACATGAAAAGATACTCAACATTATTAGCAATTACAAAATATAAATCAAATGATATACTCAGTAGGACAGAATAATAAAATAGAATAACAAATGTTGGCAATAATGTGAAGATATTGGAATCCTTATATATTGCTAGTAGGTATGTTAAATGGTGCAGGGGCTGTGGAAACAGCTTGACAGATCATCAAAAAATTACAGATCCAATTACAATGTGATCTAGCATATTTACTCCTAGCTATATGCTGAAGAGAATTGAAAACAAGTGTTCACACAAAAACATGCGGAACTATTCATAATAGCCAACTAGAAGGAGCAAGGCAAATGTTCATCAAACTGGTGAATGGATCAACATAATGTGCTGTTTCCTAAATGGAATATTTTTGAGCCAGAAGAGGAATGAAGTACTGATACTGCAACGTGGATGAACTTTTGAAACATTATGCTAAGTGAAAGAAGTCTGTCAGAAAAGGTCACACATTGTATGATTTCGTTTATATGGACTGCCTAGAATAAACAGATCCATAGAAATGGAAAGTAGATTAATGGACGGAGAAGGGAGTGGAATTGGGAGTGTCTGGTAACAGGTAGAATGCTTCTTGCTGGAGTGATAAAAACGTTCTGGAATTAGAGGTATGGTTGCCCAATATTGTGAGTATGTTCAGGTTCAATGAACTGTACACTTTTAACTGGTATATTAGTTTATTCTCATACTGCTATGAAGAATTACCTGAGGCTGGGTGCAGTGGCTCACGCCTGTAATTCCAGCACTTTGGAAGGCAGAGGCAGGTGGATCACCTGAGGTTAAGAGTTCGAGACCAGCCAGGCCAACATGGTGAAACCCCATGTATACTAAAAATATAAAAATTAGCTGGCCATAATGTCAGGTGCCTGTAGTCCCAGCTACTTGGGAGGCTGAGGCAGGAGGATCACTTGAACCCAGGAGGCAGAGGTTGCAGTGAGCTGAGATTGCACCATTGCATTCTGGCTTGGATGACAAGATTGAAACTGCTTCTCAAAAAAAAAAAAAAAAAAAAAAGAAGAAGAAGAAGATGATGAGGAAGAGGAAAAAAGAAAAGGAAAAAACCAAAAGGAAGAAATACCTGAAACTGGGTAATTTATAAAGATGACAGGTTTTTTTGGCTCATGGTTCTACAGGCTCCACAGGAAGCATAGCAGCTTCTGCTTCTGAGGAGGCCTCAGGAAGACATCTCAGCTGGCAGGAGCAGCAGCAGGGGATGGGGAGATGCCACAAACTTTTAAATGGCCAGATCTCGTGAGAACTCACTATCTTGAGAACAGCACCAAGGAGATGGTGCTAGACCATTCATGAGAAAACGCCCTCATGATCCAGTCACCTCCCATCAGATCCCACCTCCAACACTGGGAATTTCAATTTGACATGTGATTTGGGTGGGGCACAGATCCAAACTGTATCACATGGTGAATTTATGTTATGTGAATTATATCTCAATAAAAATACTGGAAAAATAAAAAGAGGGCAAAAGGAAAAAGAACAAATGTAAACAAACACCATGTATGGTTGACTCTTGAACAACATGGGTTTGAATTGTGCAGGTCCACTTATATGTAGATATTTTTCAATAAATATATTGGAAAAAATTTTTGAGATTTTCA